TTTACTCGACCGTAATCGACAGAACGGATAACTAACTTTCAATAATTCTGAGGAAAACTCAATAATATTTTTTAAAAATATTGAACTTAATGACGCTTAATGAAGTAATAAAAAAGAAATATATTTTTGATTGACTCCTTAAAGAACAACGCACTTTGTAAATAATAAGAAATTTTGCCAATTCAATTCAAGAAATTTACACTTGTCTTTTTGAAATTTTCAACACTTACATATTTCACACATTTTTTTCACTGTTATTTTATCATAATAATAAAATACATATAAAAACTCACAATAATAAATTAGAATTTCAAAAACACGGTTCATATCAACAAACATTAATGTCACATTTCATGAAATGTCAAAACAGTAATAACAGTGTTGCCAAAAGTACTGTAAATGTGATGGCGCCACCAGTACTAAAATACTACACTGCGCTAGGACGGCATCTGTGATCGTTACGTACGAATTTTAAGACTGATTCACCCGATGATTCACATCACCCGACATTACTATACGAAAAACAGCATAGAAGACGCAGATTCATTGGATTTTTGTTATTTTTTGTTCATCTTTGTGCGGATCTTCGCCGCACAATGGAGATTCAAACGAAGAAGAAGTATGGTCTTAGCATTTTAGCATACAAAAAATCGAATGAATTACTATGCTGTTTTCGTACACACTGTTTATATACGAGTCATACGTTGTTTATTCTTTTTCTCGTCATTTCATTAAAAGGCGCAGAAATGGTGCGTGCGCCTTTCAAAAGGCGCCAATTGTTCGAACGGTTGTGTCTTGATGCCGATTCTAAAAATGTTTCTCTTATCAAGTTAAAGTTTCTTCAAGCTACGTAAAACGGCTGATTATGTGCATAATCCGATGAAAATGCCCCAACTCTAATCAGTTCTGTACTTCTTGAATTTCTTTGGTTTTCGTCATATTGCAGTCTTGTATATAACATTTTATTTCTATTTGAACTAGACACTATTTTACCCAAAAGGAGATCATAAATTAAAAATACAGAGACATTTATACGCCGTCTTCAAAGCATGAATATTTAAAACATCACATCTAAATTGATACGGTGGTAGCACAAAATTTTCATTTTTTTGGTAAATAAATCTCAATGTCCATATCACAAAATCTTTCTGAATTGATTCTATTCTATTGGAATGGATACGGTGATATGCTTGCCATACAATACTCGCATATTCTAATTTGGATCTGACTAGTGCACAATTATTATTATTATTATTATTATTATTATTTATTAGTATACGGTGTATCAATCTGTGTAAAATTTACACGTGCAATGATTAAATACACTTGCTGCCAAAAGGTCAATTACATTTTCTTAAAGCATATACAATACATTTTATGGTAAAAAAGTAGCGAACATTGTAATTAAAATTAACAGTTTGGTTGAATCTATATAAATAATTAAATAAATAAATTCTGATATAATTTTAATATATACTAAATCAATTGCTCATAACATTTATATATTTCAGCTGCATATTTTGATTTAAAAAGATCATGAGATTCAATAGAGCGTATTTCTTCAGAAATTTTATTCCAAGTTGTTAATCCACTTATAAAAAATGATGTTTTTTGGAAATTAGTATTGGGTTTTTTAACAATTAATTTATTTTCGGAGCGAGTATTATTTGTATTGATGTTGATTAAATTATTAAGATATGGTGGTGCATCATTATTAATTATTTTATGAATCATGTTTGCGATATGTAGCGTGCGTCGATCATATAATTTCATTAAATTTAATGAATATCTGTGAGATGTTATATGCTCTCGACGATCAACATTTAAAACAAATCTTATACAAATATTTTGCAACCTTTCCAATTTGTCACTATCATTGTTTGTGCCATAAATTCCGTAATTGTGATAGACAATATCCATGTAATCAAAAATTGGTAATACGAGTGTTTTGATCAATTGCAATTTGATATCTGACGTCAATATCATTTTTAAAGGGCTGAGCGTGTTTAAGGCACCGAATACTTTTTGTTGAATAATTTTAATATGATTTTCCGATGTTAAGGTGCGATTTAATTGATAGCCTAAATCGCGAACACTGTCAACATATTCAATATGTTGATAATTAATAAATATTTTTGGTAGTTCATCGTATTTTAGCTTATTTAAATTATTTTTGGATGAGATAATTATTGCTTTTGATTTAATTGGATTTATTTCGATACCATAGTCATTACAAAATTTGTCAACATTTTTTAAATCATCATTGACTTTACGAATTCCATCAGAAATGTCATTGATATTACACTCAATATACATTTGGACATTTTAGCAGATTCAATTGTTAACTTATTCTTTAATGTGCGTTTGCGGAAACCCATTGCCCCATGTGCACTGGCTGTAATCGCTTCCATGTGATTGACAAATGTCAGCTTCGTAGCAAATATAACTCCCAGATCCTTGTATAATTTGATCCGTTCAAATATATGTTGGCCGTTGTTGATCGTACACCCTCCAATCCAAAAGATCCGAGACTTTTTAAAAATAATAGATACCATTGGCGCCACCTACTGGATATTATATGCGTTAGAAAGGTACTTGCCCCACTGACATTATGTCCAAGTTTCATGAGGATCGGATGTAAACATGTCCAAGATATTGCGTCTTATTTTTTAGTATCTTTTGCTCTCGGTGACAAAATGAATTTCAAACTAAAAATTATCAACTTTTGTGATAAATTTTGAAAGTTTAACGAATTAGATATTTCAAAAACCATTTTATTATGATTGTTCATGCTGTCTATAAGCTAGAAAAACTAAGACACGAGATCCTATATCGGTACATGCTTCGCATATCGACATCTTTGGAAGAAGTCGAATTTTCAGGATATTCTCATTTCGTGGACCAATTTTCTGTGAATTTCGTGGAACCGATCATCGAATCTTTTGCTCTGATGAGCCTAATATTAACTGAGGACCTATATATTGAATAATCCATAACGATTATTGCAGATAGTCAGATGTATAGAGTCTCTAGAACATGAAATAGACAGGAATTTACTTTTTCACGATATTGCTCTTACTCATTTTTCAGTCATTTGTCAACAAAAAAACTATAATGTACATTGCACAATTCTCCATTTTCGCTTGAGATATCTCGTATGGCTATCCTCTTTCCAACGAGTGCATTTGCCGATGAGAACGAGACGATATAACTATTCTGTGTTCAATTTCCGGCCTTGAACCGAGCCTTAAATATACTAAAATATCTGACGCAATAACTTGGCTGTCAGTGATCCGATCCTCATGAAACTTGGATATAATGTCAGTGGGGCAAGTACCTTTCTAACGCATATAATATCCAGTAGGTGGCGCCTCTGGTATCTATTATTTTTAAAAAGTCTCGGAACTTTTGGATTGGAGGGTGTATAATCATAGTTGACTATGTTTCCGCATTTTGAGTATGTCATAAGTTATGACTCATAACGAAACATTTCTTCAAGTTCAAATGCAGACTATTTTCAGTACACCATTCGCTCAATTGATTAATGGCATTCTGAAATAAGATGGCATCTATAGGCGATTGTATGGTTCGGATTAATTTCAAATCATCTGCAAATAATAAAACAAGTGCATTTGACATAATTTCGACAATGTCGTTATGTCGTTAATAAAAACAATGAAGAGACAAGGTCCCAAAATACTTCCCGCTGGTACTCCAGAAGATACAGTGAAATTTCGAAAAGTTTGGCTATTGTCGGTATTATAACTCCTGGCCTGTAGTTCGACGCGTTGCTCTTTTTACCAGACTTGTATATTGGCACAATTCTGGAATTTTTCGATGTTGCCGGAACACATCCTTGATGCAGTGATTTACAGAATAAGGCTGTTAATGGTTTCGACAATGTGTGCGCGCAATTTTTCAACATTTTCGGTGAAATATCATCCAGGCCGGCTCCTTTATTCATGTTGACCGATTCCAAGTTGATAATGTCGCTTCGTGTGTACTGATTTTCGAAAAAATCAGAAAGTAATTCGGCTTTCAATGTGTCAGTGTCCGCAATTTCATTGTTGTATTCAACAATAGCCAGAATATCGCTTCTTTTTCTCCTGTCGTTCGCCAAAAATGTTTTGGATTTGCCCAGAGTCAAAGTTGCCAGATTTCCTTGCACGTTTGTATGCCTTTCTTCTTACATTTTTCAGGTGCTTCAATGGTTTTGTGTACCACGGTGGATCAGTGCTTTTTTGTACGGTGATTTTTGGAACAAAAGAATCGATCGCCTCGTGTAGAACATTGCCAAAAACTTGGAATGCATACTCGAGGTCATCTATTCGATTCATTCTTGCCAAAGTGTCATTCGCATCGAAGAATGCATTCATTGCAACGAAATCCGCCGAATTGTATGCATAGAGTTCCGATGTTTGATGTGTTATTGCTCTCTTCGTAGAACTTGTTTGTAAATACAAGATCCAAAACATTTCCGGCTGGATTTTCGATATTTGACAGTTGGTGGAAGCCACAATCAAACATTGCATCAAAAACAGCAATGCCACCTTCTTTCAACTCTCTCAGGGCTGTTTGATGAAAATTGTTTAAATTGTAATATATTCATTTAATTATTTTGAATAAACTACCAAGGCGAAGGAGCTCTGTTCGGTGCAGGTATTATTATTATTATACATAGAATTTACTCAGTGTAAGAGAGTGCACATTATAAGGGAAATGCTCGACCTCTTTTACATTTAATACATTGTCCGCATATGCGTGCGGTTAACACGAAGATGTGAATGAATTGGAGCCAACGGCACAACGTATACTTTTTTCATAAGCAGAAGGAACTAGCGACTGCGCACGTGAAGGGGAATTATATTTAATGCCTTTCGTATACACAAAATGGGGTCTATGAAACAAACGTTAAGGAAAGAGAGAAAAAGATGTAATCATTTAATGCGACCGCTTTGCTCATGGCGAAAGCGAATACATTCAGTTTGAGTCGAACCATTGAAAAAGCAAAACGTGTAAAATATTGTTTGAGTTTAACGAAAATAAAAACAAAGTAGTAGTGTTGTGCGTGTATTGTCGTGTATATCTTGTGTACAATTGTACATACTACATCTACATATAAATAATACGAATATTGGTGCTCTAGAAACAAAATGAACAGAAGACCAATTAAACTCGCTTTTAGCGAAATTTTACCAACAATAATTTTAATTGAAGCAAATAATTTGTCTCAACTGAAAATCAAAAGTAAAAAGAATATACATTTATTCCTGATTTAATTTATTACTTAAATCGATTTTTCGTCGAAAAAAAAACAATTTAAGAAGAAAAGAATTTAAACATTTTGTATTCGTACTTCTAATTTCTAATGTGCCCAAAAGATTTGAGATATATATAAGATACAAAAAAAATACAAAAAAAATAATTAAAAAAAATAAAAAAATTGTGAAAGTTTCGTGTGATAATAACATTTTTTTTAATCAGTCTGTGTAAAAATTATGTTTCATTCTCTCAGTGTACGGACATGAATTTCTGAAGAACATAGAACACATCATCGACCTATGGTCACAATAAAAGTTTTTTCACCGAAATGTTAAAATTGTTAATTAACTTTTAAACTCTCGATTTTCAGGTTCGTGGAAAAAATATATGGGAAAATGAAGTGACAGTTTGAAGACTTAAAATGAAACCTTTCCTTTGGATAGAAATTATTAGAGTATTAATGATAATAAAACATCTACGTAAACATTATAAAATACAGAATACTCATTTTATATCCTTAAATTCCAAAATTCTAATTAAAATATGTTATTTGTTTTATGAATTTAAAAATGGAGAAAAAACTAGTGTTTGTATTTAAAATAAAAGAGTGATATCCAGAGTATCTTGTTGCCTCTTCTTCGATTATAAACTGTGTACGAAAAATAAACAAAAAATGATCTTTTATACATCTTTTAACTATAGAAAAAACACTAAAAAATGTGTTCCTTAAAACATATGATTTTGTCTTGTGAATGAAAAGGAACAAACAAATACATACATCGCATTAAATTACCATTCATCGATTAATATTTTAAATTTATGCATTGCATTTGAATCTATCAGAATCGTATCGCTCATTCGAAAATATTACATGTATCCATCATGCAGAATAATTTAGTCTTTTGTTCAATTAAATCGTCTATGTTGCAATTAATTTATATAAAAATTGCTGTTGTTTTAAATATTATTTGGATGGTATTACCATCAACAGCCAACGCAACAGCCGGTCAATGTACATGGGATTACAGTAGTAGTAAATTGAATAGCATTACGTGCCGTACACAATTCATTGATCATACCACGAACTTGGATTCGCAACTAGTTCAGGATTATGACAAATTGACAATTCAGTGCAGTGAGAATTTTTTATATGAGAGCCAGTTACCAAAAAATGCGTTTGCTCAGCTACGTAATTTGAATGATTTAAATATCGATTCATGTAAACTTTTGTACTTGCCTAGTGATACACTATCGAAATTAAAAGGATTGAAAACGCTAACTATACGTACACGGAATGTTGACTGGGGCCTAAGTAAGAGTCTTGAGTTGAATATAAGCTCATTCCAATCTCTCAAAGAATTGGAGGTACTAAATTTAATCGAAAGTGGCTTGCGGACAATACCTGAAGGTGTATTTTGTGAGCTGCCAACGTTGCAAGTGTTGAATATAACGAGAAATCGCATTCGATCAACAGAAAACTTAGGAATTTTGCCAAAAACATGTACGGCGGCGGCCGGTGGTGTTGAGAGCGATTTACGGATTCTTGATTTGAGTCGAAATGAATTAGGCAAACTAACCGAAAATTGGTCAGTCGCAAAACTACGTCGTCTGCAACAGTTGAACTTGGAACATAACAATATTACAGAAATTTCAGGTGAAGCACTGGGTAAGTAAAAACACAACGATTGATGTAAAATGATTTGTCATGGTATTTTTATTAACGAAAAATTGAATTTTCACTTCTTTTTTTGCTTCTTTATAAATTTTCGTTAGTAATTTTTTTTGCTCCTTCGTTAATAAAGATAACATGACAATTTGTTGTATTTTTTTTTGTTTCATTTAACTGTTCAATTTTTAGCCGGACTGCCTTCACTTCGTATATTCAATATTAGTCACAATCAATTGGAATCTTTGCCAAATGGTTTGTTCGCGGGTGCTCGTGATTTTCAAGAGATTCATTTACAGCACAACAAATTATTTCAAATTCCACGTGGCTTATTTCATAAACTTGAACAATTACTGATATTAGATTTAAGCGGTAATCGATTATCCAGTCAACACAGTATTGACAATACGACATTTTCCGGCCTAATACGGTTGATTGTATTGAATTTGGCACATAATGCACTCACACGAATCGATGCGAAAACCTTTCGAGATTTATATTTCCTGCAAGTAAGTAAAAAACCGTTTTGAAATTATTTTTCATGTTAATTTTATTACCTCAAAATTATAAAAAAACTCCATAAATGGAGCTCCATGGAATTGAATGAATGGATATTGATGCACTTCACTTCTTTTTTGTTTCACTTTTTCGAGTCGCAAGCATGGTTCCAATACTCTTTTATACCATTATCATTTCTGATAATGTTCCGATTCATATTTACTAGTTAACGTGCAGGTTGGCATACTAATTGTGCATTTCAATTTGGTCGCTGTTTATAATTTTTGGTTATTAAAAATAACATGACAATTCGTTGTATTTTCACCTAAGCCTTTGTAGGTGACAATGCATGACATACAATAATACGGTTGGTATTTTTCAGATTCTCGACGTCCGTAATAATTCAATTGGTCACATAGAGGATAATACATTTCTGCCACTATATAATTTGCACACACTTAATTTGGCTGAAAATCGCCTACATACCATTAATGAAGGACTATTTAATGGCCTTTTTGTACTATCTAAACTAACATTAAATAATAACAACATTCGTAATATCGCTTCAAATGCATTTAAAAATTGCTCTGACTTAAAAGAGCTTGACTTGAGTACAAATCAACTGCAAGAAATACCGATGGCCATTCAAAATCTAACAATGCTTCGTACATTAGATTTAGGTGAAAATCATATCAGTGATATATCAACTGGTGCGTTTCGTAGTCTAAATCAACTAACGGGTTTACGCCTCATTGACAACCAAATTGGAAATGTGACAAGAGAGATGTTCACTAATTTACCTAGACTAAGTGTATTAAATTTGGCAAAAAATCGAATTCAGTACATTGAACGTGGCTCTTTTGATACGAACAACGAAATCGAAGCCCTTCGCCTAGACCGAAATTTTATAAACGATATTAACGGAGTTTTTGCCACGCTTAATTCATTGCTCTGGCTTAATCTAGCTGAAAACCATCTGGTTTGGTTTGATTATGCGTTCATTCCGCGAAGCTTGAAATGGCTTGATTTGCACGATAACTATATTACGGATCTGGGAAATTATTACAAATTACAAGAAGAAATTAGTTTAAAAACACTGGACGCAAGTCATAACCGTTTGAGGGAAATTGGACCCTCATCAATCCCAAATTCTATAGAGCTATTATTCATTAACAATAACATGATAAATTTGATACAACTAAACACATTCGTTGACAAAATAAATTTAACTCGTGTGGATCTATATTCCAATGCATTGAAAAAAATTCATTTACATACATTACGTTTGGCACCGATACCATCAACGAAACCTTTGCCAGAATTCTACTTAGGTGATAATCCATTCGAATGCGACTGTTCAATGGATTGGCTTCAGTCTGTGAATAGTTTAACGGCGCGCCAACATCCTAGAATCATGGATTATGCTAACATTGAATGTGTTATGCCCCGCCATGAACGTGGTAAGTTTTTTAATTTTTCCCTTAAAATTTACAATTTCAATTTTATTTTCATGTATGTTGAAATAGTGTAATATATTTTCATTGAATTTATTTATATAAAAAAGATATATAAAGAAATTTAGAAAATTTAGTAATCACAAATGGTGCATTTTTTTGGCCACAAAATCACATCTTTACATTAAAGTACATATAACAAATTGTAAGAAATTGAACAGCCGGTTTTTCACTGTTTCTTTTAGGTGACGCAGTAAGAGCGATTGCATCGTTGGACGCAAAAGATTTTCTTTGTAAATATGAGATAATGTGCTTTGCTCTGTGCCATTGCTGCGACTTTGATGCATGTGACTGTGAAATGATCTGTCCGACGAACTGCACGTGCTATCATGACCAAACATGGACTACAAATGTGGTAGATTGTGGTGGTGGACAAAAACTTGGTGGACAACCAGCCAATGTTTTACCGAAGAAAGTGCCTATGGATACTACTGCACTATATTTAGATGGAAATATCATTACTGAACTTCAGAACAATGCTTTTATCGGACGAAAAAATTTGAAGCAATTGTATTTGAATAATAGTGCGTTGTATCGATTGCAAAAGCGTTCATTGGCTGGTTTACATTCTATCGAAACCATACATTTGAATCACAACCACTTACGTACATTGCATGGACACGAATTCGAAAATATGGATCAATTGAAAACATTGTACTTACATAACAATCGATTGGAATATATAGCGAATGACACGTTTGTACCACTCAAAGCGCTACAATTACTACGTATCGATGGTAATCGACTTGTAACCATGATGATGTTTCATACGACGGCTCCGCCGCAGAACTTCCCGAATCTAAAGTCATTGTCGATCGGACGAAATACCTGGAGTTGTCGTTGCCCATTTTTAAAGGAGCTTTCAACTTTTGTTATTGAAAATGCTGTTATTTTAGATGATTCGCAAGACATTTACTGTATAGATGGTGCAATAAAGCATGAAATAGATTTTAATTCCAACGGCGATTGTAGAAAATCCTATGAGGGGCGTTCAGTTTTATTGCCGGATATAAGTATAAATGAACATATTCCATTACTTTTAACATCTCTTATTCTGATCATCATTGTTACTATTCTTATATTAATCATTATTTTTCGAGAGCCTATACGAATTTGGTTATTTGCCAAATGTGGTGTTCGCATCTGCGAAACGATTGGGGAAGATTATGAAAAGTTGTATGATGCGATGTTTCTGTATTCAGAAAAGGACCATGAACATGCAATAAGAGAAATAGTCGCCGAACTTGAGATCATACCACCACACTTACGTTTATGTCTTCAACATCGAGATCTAACTCATGACGCGTCGTATTTGCAAGTGCTTGAATCAGCACGTGCATCAAAACGTGTCGTAATACTTTTGTCGCGCAATTTTCTACAAACCGAATGGAGTCGCTATGAAGTAAGGAATGCCGTTCATGAAGCTCTCAAGGAAAGACCACAAAAATTAGTTTTATTACAGGCAAATGATGCATTATTGGAAGCAGAAAATGATTTGGAACTGTTGCCATACATTAAGTCACGTGTTGTAAATGGCATTAAATTATCTGATAAGCATTTTTGGGAAAAACTACGTTATGTATTACCATCCGAAATTCAACAACGATGTAATAATTATACACTTCACAATCATCAGTCTTTGAATCAGCCACATCCACTAGAACGACAACACAAATTTGTAACTAATTCTCATCAAACCCAGTCTGCAAGTATGCAATTACATCATCCCCTGCATGGAACGTTAGCACATCATAAACAATTGCCACCATCATATTATCAGCAAGATAATGACGAAGCAAACTATTCTTCAGCAACAATAGCAACACCAAGTTCACTGGGTCGACGATCCGGTGGTGAGCTCCTTAAAAAACTTAGTAAAAATACAGTTGTATAATGATTTTATTATAACTTTTAGGTGATGAGCATCCATTACAGAATCTCCAACAACAACAACAACAACGACAACAGCGTCCTCCATCAGAGCATATATATTTCAGTATTGAATCTGATTACAGTTCAACAGTAGCAGGAACGGCGAATGCGGAATTATAAGTAGTTTTTTTAATGTTTAAAAAAGAGATAAACATGTATGAAAAATAAAAATGGAACATATTTAATATGTTTCAGAATTTTAATGAAAAAGTCTAATGAATACAGGGTGATTCAGAATTACATGTCAATATTTTCACAATTTTTTTTTAGCTCATTAGGAGTAAAAAAGTATATGGGAACTTTTCCCGAATCCCGGGTGTTTAAGAAGGGTTACAGCCCTAGCCCCCTTAGGGTCAAAATTTCCCACAGCGGTGTCAAAACAAATATCAGATTCGGTTTTCTCGTACCCAAAAACCCCCCAATACCAGTTTTCATACCGATCGAATGAAAAAAATGTTAACTCCAAAATATCATTCGAAGCTGATTATCTTGTGAACTTCGAATCGATCGGTCAAAACCGTTAGCACCATTGGATTCCTTAGGTCCGAATTATGTAAGATCAGTGGTAAAACCAAACAAAAAACTTTCCCAGAAAAGTCGATTCAAAAAAAATGAAAAAAATAATTCGGTCGCTCCACTTCGGACTGTTAAAATTTTTGACACACCCACATAAATTTGAAATCTGAAAATGTGCATACCGGACCGAAATTGGATGCTCTTTCGATTTCTGGCATAAAAAAGATAGCTTTATCACATGTTTTTTCGAGATAAATTACGATTTTCCTCGATTTTCGATGATTTTTTTCAATTTTGGTCAACCCACGTCTCCACTGAATTTTATTTTTTTTTATTTTTTTCGTGTTTTTCTCAATACGGCTGAGATGCCTTTCCAACAAGACAATAATCAAAAATGCCTTTTGAAAAAAACCGCTGTGGTGGCCATCCGTGGAAATCAACCAGAAAATAGGAAATATTGACCCTAAGGGGGCTAGGGCTGTAACCCTACTTAAACACCCGATTCGGGAAAAGTGCACATACACTTTTTTACTCCAAATGAGCTAAAAAAAAATTGTGAAAATATTGACATGTAATTCTGAATCACTCTGGCCATATATAACGTATAACTGGCCATAACAACAGCAATATCAACTTGTAATTAATAAATAAATGTAGAAATTTGAGCTCATAATTAGACTGGTCCCCAAAACGCAAAAGTTGAAATTTTTTCGCTCTTACCTCGGAATACTTTTCCATATGGTGTGAAAATAACGTGTAAAGTTTCATGCCGATAGCTCAACGCTAGATGGTGCCGCAAGAGCTCGGTAGGTCATTATGTGAATTTATTGAAAAATGACGTTTTCAGTTAAAATAAAGATATCTTCGCACAACCATATCGACTAAAAATTGATGGTAATCGTCATTTTCCATCAAACACTTGCCACTGGTCAAGTTTCAAATGATTTAAATAAAAAAAAACACATTTCCATTCAAGATATTTCATGATATTCTATCGATTTCAGTATAACATTTATGATTTAAAACAAATTGAATGTCACTTTTGGTTCTTCATAAAATGATCCGTTTTATATTGCGAGTTGGAAACATACCTTCACCTCGGCCAGTATAGCAATGCGAAAATCAAGCGTTCTTTCAAACAGCATTGATATTGTTTTTACAGTCAAAATTGATCGAATTTAGTCATTGAAATAGGTTTAGAAGTGAATTATAGTTCGGATAAATCATGTTTCATATTCATATTTTGGCCCCACGTTCATTGCTCACAATTTGCTATGCAAATGACAGTGTTCCAGCTATACGATGCGTTGAAATGGAAGTATACCAAATTGGAATCACATTAGTTTTGCTCTGAAAGTATTCTAACTTCAAATGAGATTAATTTGTTGTACATTTAGTACAAAACCTTCATTTTTGTTGATGAAATTGGAATTTTGGATGGAAATGTGTTTTATTTTCATTCAAATCATTTGAAACTTCACCAGTGGCAAGTGTTTGATGGAAAATGACGATTACCATCAATTTTTAGTCGATATGGTTGTGCGAAGATATTTTTATTTTAACTGAAAACGTCATTTTTCAATAAATTCACATAATGACCTACTGAGCTCTTGCGGCACCATCTAGCGTTTAGCTATCGACATGAAACTTTACACACGTTAATTGCATACCATATGGAAAAGTATTCCGGAGTAAGAGCGAAAAAATTTCAACTTTTGTGTTTTGGGGGCCAGTCTAACAATAATGAAAATTGCGTTTGAGAAGAAAATTCGGAAAATGAGATGTATTACTGTGATAAATAAATTAAAAATTCTACACCGATAGAAATTTTCTATTTTTTACCCCCATCATACCCCCTCCAAAAGGGCTTTTCGTAATTCCCACCCCCTGAAAAACCCGATTACATGAGACACCCTATATCAGTAGTGTGCGCGGAAAATTTTCCAGGGGGGATTTTTCGAAACCAAAAAATTCTCTAGCAAATCAGACAAATTTCCCCTCCGCACTCTACTGCCCTATATATAAATATACCAGAAAAGATAGACCAGAACGATATAGAGAGTTCGAATTTTCGCCATTCGATAAGACATGAAAAACCCTTTAAATGTTTTTTTTTATCTTCCTCATAGGTGCTCCCATTCAAATTTTTCATTCATGGACCCTCTTTCTTGAATTTCTTTTTGAAAAATATTACGATTCCTTTCACTATTTATTGAGTGAATAACGAATGGATTCGGGTGGATTGACGCTTTTCCGTAACTTCATTGGGTGGAAAAAGATGAAATAATTTGATACCTTTGGATCTCGATGACTTATTAAAAAAAGTTGCAGTCACCTGAGGTATCAAATTGATTAGAACTGGTAATTTATAAAATTACCTAGAGTTGATCAGAAGAAAAGAATGAAAAAAATAGAAATTAATCAATAAGTAATGGAACGGAATGGAAAATGAAATTATAAAAAAAATATACTTTATAATTAAGTAAATCAATGACCACAACAACAACTTTGCTTCAATTTAAGATTTCATTATGAGAATATTCGCGTAGACGTCCGTACTTATATTTTTGATTATTGATTTCAATTGTAATAATAATGGAGTTGATGCCTGAATGTTCGAAAACCACCAAGGCGAAGGAACGCTGTTCGGTGCAGTTATTATTATTAATTTGGCATCGGCAGATGATTCAACATGTATTATCGTTTCAATAAATTTCCGACCGATTGACTGTTGGTTGGATATATTGCATTTGTTACAATATAGTCATCTTACTCACTCTGCAATGCTATTAAGAAGCATGTGATGATAAACAAATAAAAATGTAAACAGGCCACACGCGTGCGCCTGTCTCTCTCACTCATATGCATTCATGCTTAAACATAATATTATGCAGTATAAAGAAGCCATAAGAAAACCATAGATTTATTGTCTAAAACGATGAAAAATAAAATTCACATATAGTTGGCGCTGCATTCTATGCAAACTTGTTTTCCGTTGCAACGGACATTTTAGGCAGTAATCTTATCGCTTCTTTCGCAATTATAGGCAATACGTGCATCAAGTGAGAACTTTATTCCGAATGTGAACCAATACATACGCACACCAATACATACGCACGCATGTTCAGCATGTCACTTGTTTACTTTTTCATTGGTTTGTCATTAATGCGTCGCATAAAATAAGTAAATGTATTCAGGGCTTTATAATACTTATTATCCAATTCCTTTCAGGACTACATTTTTAAAATGAATTGCATCCATTTATTTTGTCAATGTTGAAATAAATATATTTAATTTTTTTGAATGGCTGGAATGTTGAGAAAAGATCAATCGGGAGTTTTTTTGATGACATGGGCTGGAAGTGAATCTTGAGGAGCAGGTGGAACCAACCTGGTCCAAAGTGTTCTGGGTGTTGAGCACATATGAGGCCCATATATAATTAATATACCCAGGCATTTTTTTCATTTTTTCGATATTTCCAACGGAAAAGCGAGAAAAATCGATTGGTAGTTTTTCAAACCGGAAAAGCGAGAAAAACATACCGTTTGTATTATAATTTATACTTAATTCATTCTCAACATTCCAGCCATTCAAAAAAATTAAATACAGTGCCGCCATAAAGTTTGGAACAGTGTGTCCATAATATATAGAAATATCACTAAATAGTGTCGATATCTATACTATATCGGTCCACTATATATGAAAGATATTGCCGCACGGCACCGTATCGCACGATCGAAGTCAGTGTAGACGGAAAAAATCACAAATTTCCGTGCGGCAGTAGAATAAACTGTGTGTATGCGTCAACATGTTTGCTGTCCGCACTCACTTCGTTCGTGAGCTACGGTGTCTTGCGGAATATCTTACATATATAGTGCCCCGATATAGTATAGATATCGACACTATTTAGTGCTATTTCTATATGTTATGGACACACTGGTTTGGAACCACCTAAGTATTTTTCATACAAAATGCCTTAAAATGACGTTTTTCGAGGTTTCAAGAATAATACTTTTTAACCCGAGAAATCAATAATTTTGGCATATTGTTTCAATCGGCAATTCCATATCAAATCGTCCAGATTTTTGCAGGCATAGTCTCCGATATCACTCAAAATTGGCATACAAGCTTGTTTTGGTGAAAAACCAAGAAAAAAAAATTCAGCCCGATCGGGTCACCTGGGTGGAAAATAGGGGGGTGCAATTTTTGAGAAAACTGAAAAAGGCACTTTTTTGTATGAGCTTCATATCAGTAACGCTCGACTTATTTCAAAAACATCTATACCGTTGGAAAGGGGATGGATGGGGCTACCAAAAATGCCAACCCATTGACCCCCGGGTGCATCCCCGTACTAAATTTTTGGGTCAAAATATAAAAATCGATTTTTGGTCGATTGACTTATGTTTTTTTTCGCGATTTTTTTATAGCTCATTTTATGTTTTTGAAATTTTTTTTTCAGTGGAGGCGGTCGAATTACTTTGAGTAAAACTGACAAAAAATTAGGAAAAATCGAAGAAAATCGTCATTTTTACCATAATACCCACATTTTTCTTCTATTAATCGAAAAACCGTCCAATTTTACTCCGGTACCTTTTTTCAAATCGGGCGTCAAAAAAACCACAAATAATAAATCGTACACGATTGTAATCGCCGCCTTGGAAAATGGACCTTAAGCCAATTTTAAGAACCCATAAAATCGTAGGTTGGTCAAAATTACAAAACGTCTGAAGTGGAGCGATCAACCTTTTTTCATTTTTTTTAAAAGTGAATGTTTTTTGGGATTGCTTTTCGGGGATTTATTTTTATGACTGATCTTACAAAATTCGGACCGAGGAATTCAATGGTGCCAACAGTTTTGACCGATCAACTCGAAGTTTCCTTTTCGAGTGCATTTTCGATTGTAATTTGGTAATAATTGTTTCCATTTGACCATTATGAAAATTGGTTGACAAAACTTGGGTTCCAGCTTTTCGTATTTATTCTTCTTTCGTCTTGGTTGTGGATTTGGATTTGTTTCTGGATGTTTCTTTTTGTAAGTACGATGAACTCTGCCTGTCCATTGAATTGGATCGTGAAAAACGCCATCGTCGACCGGTTTACAGTTGGGGCAAACTGATTTTATTTGTTCAAAAATGAAGAAAAGCAAATACAATCAATAATAATAATTTCATTCATTGGTAATGGTATGCCAATCAAAAACAACTTACCGGTCTTTTGATTAACGTTCTGGCACGCTTCTTCGTTTCTTGAGCTTACGTCCTGATCGACTACACTTCTGATTGGAAAAAGGAATACATAGTCACGTACCGTTTGTTGCAATTCTCGATGCGGACTCCATAGATATCCTTTAATTGGGGAGTTTGATGCCAATTTTGCACCATCAAATGCCAATGTTTTTACCAATAATTCTCTCAATTTGTCCTGAATAGTAAGCACGTTGAATGATTGGCGGCACCAATGGCACCTTTCGATAGCTCACTTCAAGACCTTTCCAACGATATGCATATGTCCAGGTGTGTCACATGCAGGCAACCCGGTGACCGTAGGGACAAAAGTCAAAAAGTGACTTTTGGAGGACGGCCACGGCCAACATGGCGGCCATATCGAAAAGTGCCGGAACAAAAAATTTCTTAGTTTTTTGTGTACTTTAATCGCAGAAATTTTCAAAAAGATCAAAAACAACTACGCCACAGACAGATTTTGATTTTTCATAGAAATGCATATGAAATTTTTAAAATAATAATTTTTTTCACTTTCGAGCCTGCAGATAAATACCTACCCAAGAACCAATTGTTAAATGGATATAAAAGGATAGGCTGATCCTTTCTGGATGTGTTTTAGTTCATGTGTAAAAAACTTTAGAATAAAAAATATATTATTGACAATAATTCATACACTAGAGGGTTGAGTAACTTCTTCGATTTGTATTTTTTGTGTTTATTTTGTATAAATAGGCATACTGGAAATGAAACAACAACAACAATGTAAGTCCTCAGTGTTCTACGATACCAGCCAAAATCCAACAAAATTTAAATTAAGTTTTTGTTGAGATTTCATCAAAAGTTTTCAATTATGTAGAATAGAGTGTTTCCCATATCTATAATTAAAAAAATGGTATTTTTCAATTTAAAGAGCATAAAATTCTGTTTTAAGTCGTACCATTAATGTAAAGCACCGATTGATATTGACACTTCCCGAAGCAAAAAACTCTTTAAAGCAAAAATTGTCTAAGGTCTTAATATTGAATTAGTATTATTGATGTGAACCGAGCCTTATGACATTTGACGATCATTTCATTGGTTTTCGAAATGTCATAAACGCCGCTTCATTCATACCGAGAACACATTATTTTCGATATACGTGCATTTTGTATCGATTTGATCCGAACTTTCCACACTTGATCAATCGATTGACAAATTGTTGAATTCAAGTCACCAGTGTGAGTAAACTTAATCATTTTATTTCCGTGAAAAATATTGGTTAATTCATCAATAAAAAATATTATTTTTGATGAAAAATCAAAAATTGAATTACGTGCTTACGTGCAGTTATTCCTCTTGTTCTTATTGTGAAATTGATTTTTATTTCATAGCACGTAATATAAGCCATCTATAACGTGAAATATATTTAAGTAGTCTAATAATTATTTAACGTTGAACATATAGTATCATATTTCATGAAAAAAGTAATGAATTTCACAATTATTCTGCAGTACATAATTCTGTTGCGTGAGGTGGTGAAATTCATTTCAAGCGGTGATACCCATTTTGAATTGGTTCCATTGTTCAGAGAAGAGAAACAGTTATTGTTTGGGCTCAAATTGAATCTGAATACTCAATAGTATGCGTTACATTGTTTTCTTCTCTAAATCACTGCCATTGTTATCAATCCAAAGATTTTTGTCATTTTTGTGTGCTGCATCATTTTGTGTGTGTACCAAAAAAGGAGATAGATTCTTGTTCTGTTGTCGCTCGAAAAAATTGAATTTAAAACATGTGTGTGCGTGTGTGCATATTTGTGCAGGAGATTTATTCATTCGTAAATTTCTATAAAAAAATCTCGATATGGATCAATGAAAATGTCTAAATATCGCCAATTCAATAGTATTCGTTTTTAAACTAACTCGAATGTGTGTGTTTTTTTCAATAGAAAAATGGCAAATCGTTACAAGCCGTCTCTACCAGCTGAGGGAGAAAAGAAAGATGAGATAACGACGATCAAATGTGCACTAAAATCAATAATTCGGCCGCCATACCAGCAGGAACTGATCGGCAAAATAACTGATCTAAGTCTACAGGCTACAATGATTTGCAATTTGGGTTCGTTGCTGTTCTTATTAGAGGTGCAAAAGGCATATGAACGTAGGCATCAACAATGGTGACTTCAGCTTCTTTGCCAATAGCGGGGAAGAAAAGATCAACACATGTTTTAGTCAAGTGCTAGCAAAGCACAACCCAACAAATGTAATTATGCACTAAAATCAACTATGGATAACATGGATTTTACAGTTCTATTTTAATTAATATATTGAATTATTCAATAATTCATTTTATTTTCGCATTCTAACTGATTTTTTTCTCTCTTTTCATTCCATTGTAATTTACAATTGTAAATTAATTTACTACCGAAGCCGAAGCCGAAAAAAACACCAAAGCCGAAGCCAAAGCCAGAGCCAAAGCCGGAGCCAGAGCAACCATCAAAGACTAAACGGAAACCCCGTGGACCAGCAAAAGAAATTCCACCAATCGATCCAGAATTCAAGGCGATTGTGGAAGGTCTTGATGAGGTCCATCGCTTTGATTGGCCTAGCAACAAAGATTTCAGTAATGGCCTCAAACATCTATGCAATCAATACATAGACAACAATGTCACCAATTCGCAAACACATTCGGATAAACACATAACCCAATATCTGAAGATGAAAGTGTTTCAGATGAACACAAATGAAGCCATTGAAGAGAAATACCTGCCAAGTGACATCGACTGTGTGGTGAAACTCATTCTCAAGGAAAAGGTATGTGGAAAATGTTTATTCAAATCATGAAAAGAACTGAGTTTTCAATGGTTCATATTGTTTAAGCTTACAATGGTTTTTTTTTTTGACTCGTTGACAAATTTTTATATACATGACTTTAATCTATTTCCCTTGTTTCATTGAAAAAGGTCATCAAAGTGCCAGCTAGTGACCCAAATAAACTTTATCGGTGCGGAGTTTTGTATGACATCGTCAATAAGTTGAATGTGTTCCCGGAAATCGACCTACATGATCTCACGACCAATTCAAAAAATTGGTTCAAAGCTGTGCCGATGTATCTATCTATGCAACGCGAGATAGAAGAATTTAATTTGCTGCGAGCACATCAAGAGCCACCGAAGAAACGCAAAAAGAGAAAGCGCAGAAGACCGAAGGGTAAGAAACGACAGTGGATCATCAAACGAAAACAAATGCTCGACGATTTGGAATATCTACCGTGCATTCGCAATTTGGTGGTAGTTCCGATGTGTGATTTTCGGCGTACGCATTTCAAAATCGACTGTTCGAGTATGTATCAGATCTTGTCTTCACAAAAATTGATTCCGAAACAGTTAACTGAAGACGGAAAACCAAGTGACAAAAATATTTCACAAAAGGTTTTCAACGAGAATAAAGATTACATATGGAATCAGTATTTTTATATGCGTAAAATTCGGTGGTTTGTGCGCCGCAAAAAGAAATTTGACTTTTCGATAAACAGCGATGGAATTGCTGTGTCTCTGCAGTATTCCACCAAAAAGAAGGAGACCAGCAACACACAATCGGGCACCAGTCGATTGGACATCATTGACATGTTGAAGGCGGGCAAATTCAAAAGATTGGGAGGTACAGATTCAGGCATGCGGAACTGGAATACCACAACAATACATGAAATTGATACTTGCAAAGAAGTATGTGTAGTATACTAAAATACAATGATGCACATTGTGTTTAAGTTCACTAATTATTTTTGTTTTTTTTTTTTCGATTTATTCGCAGATCAACTTTGTTAAAAAGAGCAAGCAGTGCCATTGGGAGACACATCAAAACGTACGAAACGCAAAAGCGAAGCGATTCACGAAAAATTTCATCGAGAAAGAAAGACAAGATCGAGAGAATCGTGAGCTGTACGCAATGATGCCATCACCAAAAGGTTCACAGTGGCTGAGCTATATTAAGCATCGAGTTAAGATGACCAAACATGGAATCGAAGCTTACTCGACTGCAAAGTACACTAGACTCGCCTTGGACAAATACATTAGGAGCAACAAAGCTATCGACGGATTTGTGAACAAGATCACCAATAAGGAACCGACTCTGTTATTCCATGGTGCTGATGGCGAAGTACGACCTGATTGCCCGATAAGAACTAAAAAACACGTGCGGTGTCCGGGTGTACGCAAACTGATGCAGGCATATAAGAAGCGACCCTACATTGTTGTCGTGCCGGTGGACGAATGGGGAACATCTCAAACAGACGCAAGATGTATGTGCCGATTCCAAAACCAACCCAAATCGGCCAAATTCAAGATGTGTCGGTGCATACCCAACGCCATAACACTGCTGCCAACCAGAATTGTGTCTAAGTTTGGCAAGACAGATACATCTACATATCGACAGTTACAACGCACATTGAACGGAGCATTTGAAATAGAAGAGGAGCTAATGTCAAGAGTAAAACCTTACTACAAAAAATGGCAATTAGACCTCGAATGCACCGTGACTTGGCATCGTGACGTCGTGGCTGCTAAGAACATTCTACTGAAAGGTAAGGATATTGATACACAATGTGATTGAATGATCGCAAAAAAAGATTCATTTTTTCGATTAATCAGGACTATGGACATTGCTTGGACTTCCAATACCTGCTGCAATCAACCGATATTGGAATCAAATCAACGCCGATGCCGCCGTCTTCGACGACGATAACGACGTGGACATATCCGAGCCCGAGTTCGAATAGCAGCCAACTAATCATCACAATACCATACAATAAAATAAAATAAATCATAAGTAACATTTGTTACGTAACTGCTATCCCGAATATGTGGGTTAGTTATGCACAAAAAAAGTCATTTCCCATTTGGTTGAGATGGCTGTGCGGGAGTACAAACAGAGCGTTTTTCCATTGTAAGTATCATTAGATTTTGAAAACAGTTTTTTGCTTCGGGAAGTGCTAACATCAATCGCTTCGTTGTATAAATGCCATTAACTAACATAGAATTTTGCCTACTTTAAATTAATAAATACCATTTTTCTATTTACAGATATGGGAAACACCCTAATGTAGAAACTCAATCTGTTATTTGATAATTTGAATCTCTTTATTTTTTGGACAAAAATTCGCATATTTTTCGTTACTTGAATAAACAAGTTTGAGGACATTTTTTTTCTTTTTCGCATGAATAATTTTTTGAATTAACCTCAACTTCATCATGTTTGTAATTGATTTACCACTTTTTCACCAGACATTGCTTATTATTACAAATTGATTTAAAACATGTGGTAAATTATTACTATGAGTGCAACTTGAGAAAATTTAATGTCAGCGAATCAAAAATTGAAATTATAAAGACATATTTCGAGATTGAATTTATAGATGTCAGTGTTACGCTGTTTTTTTTCGTATTAAAGAAGTATTTCGAAATTAAAAATTCGAAATGTCAGTGGATTAGGCGCCAAACTTGGCAGAGAAATATAAACAAATGTAATGTGTTTATCTGTTATTTTATTTTTATTTTATCGCCATTAATTTTTTCTTCAGAATTAAAACTAAAATAACAATGAGTGACCAAATGATAGAAAATTATTGCAAACGTCTCCGAATTTCTGACGATAATACAATAGAGTAGGTTCATGTGGGAATATACATCTGTGTACTAAATTGCAAAGAGCATTTTTTTATTTCCATTTTTAATATCTTTTAATAATATTTAAAAAAAACATTTTTTATTCTACTATATAGAAAGTCCAAGGAAATATTACGTTTGGTCAACATGAAAAAGTGTACAATCAGTAAGTGTAACTTTTCGTACGTCTCTTTTCTTTCGGCTATAGCCGAAAATGCTTCTAAGCTTGTAAACCCTTCTACGGCTTGCTTCAAGTTCAGATATTTTTCAATCAAATCGATTTTAAACATGAAGTTATATATAATCCAATATATCCACCGGCAAAGTAAATGCCTGATTCAACTGTATTTACAAGATATGATATACATACTCGGACAAGTGCCAAATGGCCGCTGTTTTCTTGTGCGATTGCATTAAATTTTTCCAAGTAAAATGGACTCTGTTATTATAATATTTTTCTTCTCCTTTGCATCATCATCCGGTTCATAGGGACAATAGCAATATCTCCGGTGATCAAGTCCAAATGAAATTCACTTTAAATTTTAAATAAATTTGAAATTGAAATAATAGCTCATTTTCAGTGTATAACTGTTACATAAAACCGCACTTAAACACAAGCGGTTGCTCTTATTTTTGCGCTTATCCATATACTCTATGAGTAAAAAGTAAGAGCATTGGTTGGGTTTTTACATTTTTTTTATCATTTTCAACCCCAGACACAGTCAGCGAAGCAGTAAAGATGATCATCAGTATTGATTGTGCAACTAATTTATGTAATACTGAAATAAATTACGATGACGCTTTAACACTATCTGGGATTAAGAAATCTGAATACACACGACAGAGAGAGCTTATCGAAAAATTACTTGATTTGGGAAAAAAAATAACTTTGGACGAAATATGTGCGCGACTCGAAATTAGTGATTCTATAAAGAAAGATGCATTTCGATTACTGAACGGATACAAAGAGAAGAACGCATTTTTAGATGACATTAATGATGTACAATATCTAGCAATGGCGGTATACCAAAGTTGTAAAATAAAAAATTATAAAAGCAACAATTCAACAAAATTAATTCAAATGAGCCGATTGAATGGAAAAATGTGGAAAAGATTGGAAGAAGAATGGAATAGTTGGATCAAGGAGACAAAACTACAAAATAAAATCCAACTCACGAGCAATACTTCTAAAATTGAATTCAAAAAGAAGGGTAAATATTTAATTCCAATTATATACAATATTTTCTTATTAAATAAAAATAATTCCCAGGCTCTGTTGAATATGTGAACGAGAATAATGATGACAATAGTATTCAACCATATGAAGTATGGCGTGGGAATATGGTAAAATTAGCCAAGGAAAATCTATAATTCAATTCAAAATGTAATTCATAAAGCAAAAATAAAGTAAAAGAAAATTTAATTTTACAATTTACATGTAATTTTTCTTCTTGATAATGTTATACAAAGTTTAAATATACTATGTTCTTATTCAACGTCGTCCACGGTTATAATTCGATTGACCTCTGCTGTAGCCATCTCCTCTGCGTTCACCTCTTTGATTTAAGTCTTGACTTGATTGGTCTTGGCCATAGAAACTATTTCGATTCGATCCAGAACCTGAATTTCCGCCTGAGTAATAATTATCGTTGCGTAGCTGATTGGTGTGGTTACCTGCACTTCCTAAAAGTATTTGGAAATATAATGCCAATATTTTAATCAAACAAATTGTATTGTAATATATTCTTTCATCCTTCTACTAATCGTTGATAAAAATTGTTTTGAATATTGACTATTTTTTCATTTTTCAGTTATATTTAACAAGAAACATATTTAATTCAATATCTATTATGTTAAAACAATAATTTTCGTCGTATAAATTCATTGAAATTTGAACAAAGAAAAAAAAAATTCATTGAATTTGCATGGAAAATGTACGTCGGGCCTCAGAGGCCCAACTTGCCCGATAACGTTTGGATTTTGACCTGCCCGGTTAAGGGTTAACAAGGGTATGGCATGCTATGTAAAATGTTGGCGAACAAAAACCTTACAAAGTTGTCGGAATAAACCTTATAATTCTATGAACAAAATTACACAAATATGAGATAGTCAATACGAAATTTGTAATTCAGATTCTATCCAATAGATGGCGTTACGGTTTGGCACATCGTCATGTCTCTCATATACGTGCCATTCCCTTGAGGGTTAAGTATGTTTACAAAGGAACTTTAAAAAAACGCTTGCATTTGTTATTGCGAATGAAACAAAGAAAAATATGCGTTAGCGAAAGATTCGGTGTATATATTTCCATTATAAAAAAATTGCTCATAGATTTACTTCGAAAAGTGTAAGAATAAGTGTAAATTATCTAGATATTTTCGTACCAAAATTTACATCAGAATTTTGTTGAAATTTCACCTCGATAGAATATTTTATTTTTATACACAAAAATAATTATAAAAATGAATAATCTTGCCTTGTACTCTGTTGTGGTTAGCGCAGTTTCGATTTGCTGAACCAGTTTTCTGAGGTTTGAAATTATTTCCAGAATTTTGATAGGACCCCTGGTAAGTTCTTTGTTGCTGAGGCTTATAGTTTAAACCTCGATTCTTAAGATTTAAAATTGCATCGTGAGTCAAATTGTGTTAGTTACTTAAATCAATCAATTGAATCTATGTTACTTACTGCGCCGCCGCCTGAATTCCCACCTTGACCTCCTTGGCTTCGATTTTTTTGCCATGAAGGCATTTCAGGTGGTGGCCTTTGCATTTCATTAGTACGTCCACCTCTATCTGGTACAGAACCAATAATATGTTTTTGTATGTCAAGCTGTGTATTTTTTCGTACTGTGGTCGAACTAGTTTTTTCCACATGCAACATTTCCATTCGCGCAGCTAGCAATTCAACAATATCGGTTGTTTTGCTACGGGTTAAAATTTGATCCAATTCATGGCGTTTACTTGTATAAGATTCAGCAATAAAGTCACTCTCATTTTTCATTACATCAGACCATTGAAATGATTGAATCGTTACATCCAACCGTGTCATTAACATTTCTCGCCTCAAATCATATTCTATGTCCAATTCATTTTGTAATTTTTCCAACTTTTTCCATTCTTCGATAGACAATTGTCTACTTGGCATGTAGAGAGATTTGTCTGGAAATATAAACAATTGAATTTTGAAATGAAACAAATAAATTTCATAAGATTTAAAAAAATTAAAATAAAGACTTACCATTTTTTTTGAATATTTCAGAAAACGTAAACAGCAATTTTTCAAAGAAAAATTTTGGTGTTATACTTTGTGGTGGCTTACCTGATTAAATAACAAAAAAAAAACTATTAAATGTATTAATAATGGGCAAGTATAAAAACATACCCAAGTTCAAATTTTGTGTTATAGCTTTTAGTGCAATTGCTGCTGAGCTTTCGAGCTATTGTTAAATAAAATAAAAAAACTTGAAAACGTGTTTACATAAAGTTTATATACTAAATATTATCATTAAAATTACTCACAATTTCTATAACGACTTTCTTGTGTGGATTTATTTTATGGCACATTTTTGCCGCCATTAATTCACTTATGAGATAGTTTAGTAACAATAAACAATCATGCTTGGACTGAAAACGTTGCGCAAGAGATCCACTAATCAACACTGGATAAGGACAGCATAACTCTTTGAGCATACTTGAAAGTTCCAAAATGAATTCTGTTTTCTCACTCTCTGGATCGATCTATAAAATTTATTTGGATTAGATATATTTTTGAAAACATGAAAAAAGAGTACGTACTCGTTCATCCACATTTTGTAATATGCTAAGTTCACCTGAGAGCCAAGAAACTAAAGATCGAAAATTCGGCGAAGATATCCCATTTTCCAGCATATTTTCAATAAAAGACATTTGAATACATTCCCCATGATAGCTTTAGATTATAGGCGATAAAAAGTTACATATAAAAATTCCAAAGATTGATAAGGTTATGTATGATTTATTTCTTAAATTAAAACAAGAATTTTGGTCTCAAGATTATTTATAAATAACGTTACAATACCCAACACTATTTAGAAATTCAATTATTTCTTGCATGTCGCTTTAGTATCAATATATAGACGTCTGAAGAAAGATTAACCGGGTACAGAAATGGTATTTTTACCAATTACTCAATGTGAATGATAAAATGTCAACGATGAATGCGTTCAATGATATGAAAAAGTGTTTTTTTATTATTAATAAGTAGTGCCATCTGTGTAAACAGTCATGCAATTTTCTCCAAATGCTAAAAAATTTGGAGAAAAATGGCAAACTTGTGAGAGAAACAATGTTTATAGCCATTGAATTTCTTCTCTACATTTTAAAAGAAATTAAATACTTTTTATTTTTACCAACATAACAAAAAGAATATTATTATAAATTTCAGTCGCAACACCGAACAAAAATAAAGTCATGAAATTGTGTATGTGTTTAGTTGATGTCTGTATGTGTGTATGTGTGTATGTGTGAGTTTGTGCATACGAATATTGTGTGTATGAATGATGTTGTAAAGATATTTAAAGGAATACAAAAGTAAATTCAAGCAACAAACACTATTAGATAAATGGTTACAAACATTATTGAAAGAGTAAAATAGGAGAAATTTGCTTGTGTATTTTTGTGAATGCAAACTAAACTGAAACCAAAAGCGGGACAACTAGCATGAGATAATAATTGTGTGTGAGTGTCTTGGATTTTTTTAATGTGTTCAGTGAAATGTTTGCGCTTTTTTCGTTCCGTAAATTTAAAGAGTTCTCTGTAAAAGTTAAAAATTAATAATATTTTTAATCTGTCTAAAATATTTTATAATTAATATCATTTATTAATTCATTCCAATATATATAAAAAAAAGTCATTTTCTGAATTAAAAAGGTAAGCATATATCCATTTTTTTAACATATTTTCAAATGTTTCATTTGAGTGAGAAAAACAACAAACATCTATACTTTAATATAGATAAATAGGTGCGCCAATAAAATGTTACGATCATTTACATTTAATAATGTTTACTATTGAATAGATCTTGTCAAAAAAAAATTATCTGTTTTTTACAACTTGAACCAAAGTACTTTTTTTTACATAAAACGTGCAAAACATTTGACATTCTATGTTCGATGTATAATTTTTTATGGATATTATTTCTTAATACTCTTAAGAACATAAAAAGCTAGAAAAATCATTCACAATATATTCAAAATGGTAACGTGAAAAGTAAAAGTATCAAAAATGCGTTAAGTATAATGTATATGTCTATATATACATGTATACTGTAAAATATATAGAGAGTATAGAAACTATAGAGTCAAGTAGTAAAAGCAAAAACGAAAAATCAACACCAAATTAATATATCAAAATGTATTTAGTAATTTTATTATACGAAAATAATTATATTTAATATAATTTAGATTTTCGTGTTTGTTTGTTCTCTCTCATTTACACGCTTTTTGGATAACAATTGTAAACTTTCCATATTTAATTGTCTCATAAATTTTGAGCAATTTTGACGCTTGGACCATGCATGTCGTTTGCCTTCAATTGAAAACATAAGAGGTAAAGCGGTAAAACAGTTTAATCGACTGTCATGCCAAACATAATGAAAATGGCAAACCATAGTGGGAAAGAGGACGTAATACCTTGCAAAATAGCGTATTGAAAGAGAATGTGAACTTTTACATACATATGGTATATATAGTTTAAAAATATGTTCAACTTTTTACATGTTGTAAATTTTTATATGCTGGAGTTTTCAGGTCATCTGGTTCTTAGACCTATAATGACCTATGTAGGCTTGAAACACATCAAACCAATCTTCATATGGAAATAAATTCAAACTCGTCGAATTTGATCTAAATGTGAAACGTCTCGTATTTGCGTGTAAAGATTTTATTTTATTTTCGGTAACTTTTGTAATATTGTTCGTTATGTTTTATTTATTTTTTTTAAATATAGCAGAACGCATAAATAATTGGTATATGCCATTAAATATATTATAATACATTTTACATAAGAATAAGAATTAATTTCTTATTTATCTCTATTTCTCACAATTTTAGAAAAAAGATTTTGTAAAATTTCGAATTGGAACAGCAAAAAAGTAAAGCATATACACCAATAAAATAAAAATATACGAGGTATCGAAGACATAAAAATTAGAAAATGGCAGATCAACAGTTCTTTTTAAAATGGAATGACTTCCAAACGAATATGGTGACATCATTCCGTCACTTACGGGATGAGAAAAGTTTTACAGATGTAAATATGTTCTAAATTTGAAAAAACTGTAAAACTTAGTAACGTTTCTTTTGTAAAAAAAAACAGGTGACATTGGCGTGTGAAGGACAAACATGCAAAGCACACAAAATGGTTTTGTCGGCGTGTAGTCCCTACTTCAAATCCTTACTGGAGGTAAATCGAAACAATCAAGAAATGTTTTAATCATAAACATCGTATCTTAGCAATTGTTTTTAAATTCATTTAAATAGGAGAATCCGTCAAAACATCCGATAATTATTCTGAAAGACGTTTCATATTCACATCTACAAGCGATTTTGGAGTTCATGTATGCCGGTGAAGTAAACGTGTCTCAGGAACAATTACCAGCATTTTTAAAAACAGCCGATCGCCTTAAAGTCAAAGGCTTAGCTGAGACACCATCATCAATTAAAAGGGAATGATTATTTTTTTTTAAATGAAGATATTTAAAGGAAATTAAACACTTTTTTTAAAGAATATTCTTTACAACACGAACACATAGTAAATATAATTAATATTAATAATAATAATACTGCACCGAACAGCGTTCCTTCGCCTTGGTGGTTTATTTAAATAAATAAATATATTAAATTTTAAATATGTTTCATCAAGCAATTTTGAGAGAGATATATAAATTTTGGTTTGAATTTCAAAATTAATTTGCATAAAATAAATCTAAATGGTATAAAATTCAAATAGTATTTAAGTTGATTATTTCATTATTCAAATTAGTGAGATTGTTTAGTTTTCAATTCATTTCATCTATTATGCTTTAAATAATTCTCAACTCCCAGTTTAATTGTGGGTAAATTAATAACACTGTTTGGATTTTTTATTCTATAAAAGTCGTTAAACGTTGAAAGCATATAGTTTATCGGTCCTTCTAATTGGCAGATCAAATAGCGGCGATGCCCGGTGTTATGCGTTGAAACATAATACCTCATACTGTCCGATAAATGTGTTGACTTGATATCAACACGAATAGTTTTGAAGATGAATGACACTTGTGTCTCTCCTTAAGCGTGATCATTTGTAGCAACAGAAGTCTATGCTCATTTTTCGGGAGTCTACGAGGGTTGCTCCATAATTTTTTTTAAAAACATATATAACACAGTTGTTTTTTGTCGAAAATGGTTTTATTGTTTTTCAAAATATTCTCCGAGATGATCGATACACTTTTGCATTCGATGAAACCATTTGTCATAGCATTCGTGCCACTCCGAAACTGATATCTCCAAAACGTGTGTTTTGAACGCTTCAACTGCTTCTTCTGGTGTCGAAAATCGTTGACCACGTAGTTTTTTCTTCACGCTTGGGAACAAAAAAAAGTCATTGGGTGCCAGGTCAGGACTGTACGGTGGATGACCCATCAGTTCGATGTTTTGACCGGTCAAAAATCGAGTAGTTTGAAAAGATGTGTGAGAGCTCGCATTATCGTGATGAAGAATTATTTTGCGACGGTGGTTGTTTTTTCTTATTTCACCAAACACTTCGGGCAAACAAATGGTGGTATACCAATCAGAATTGACGGTCTTACGATCCTCTAGTGGAACGGTTGCCACATGACCACTTCTCCCGAAAAAACAGGCGACCATTCGCTTCGAAGTGCTTCTTGCTCGAACAACTTTCGTTGGGTTATCTTCATTTTGGAAGACCCATACAGTCGACTGCTGTTTCGTTTCGGGCTCATAGGCATATATCCACGATTCGTCACCAGTGACGATTTTATTATCGTCTTTTGAAGCACCACGATTGAATTTCTTGAGCATTTCTTTACACCAACTCACACGAGCCATTTTTTGTTCATCGGTCAATTTATGTGGGATCCAACGAGAGCAAATCTTTTTTACGGCTAAATGTTCATGCAAAATTGTATGTATGCTGTGGGATGAAATGCCCAAAGATGCCTCAATCTCACGGTAGGTCACATGACGATCTTCCATAATCAGTTTTCTGACAGCATCGATGTTTTGTGGCACAACAGCCGATTTTGGACGACCTGTATGAAACTCGTCTTTGAGCGAACTACGACCGCAACGGAATTCTCGGTACCAGTTATAAATTGTCTGAAGGGTTGGTGCTTCATTGCCAAAGGCCAAATGAAGTCGATCGAAACACTGTTGTTGAGATAATTTACTTCGAAAATCGTAGTAAATCATTTTACGAAAATCTTCACGTGTAAAATTCATTTTTTTGTTGAGTCGCAGTTTACCAGTCACTGTAAACAATACAAATAGCGTTCGTACGACAAAAGGTTCAGGGCACGAATACATACCAAAACATCAAACTTTACGAATATGACAATGGTTTACATCGGGCAACACTATAAGTACCATTTTAAAAAAAATTATGGAGCAACCTACGTATAGTGGGAATCTCCTTAGCGCGAATAGTAAAATATATTGAAAATTGTTTTTTGACACGATTCTTTTGCACATACTGGCATAAGATGAATTCAAAATCGAATCTTCATATTAAGAAAAGTTGTTTGATCATTTTTCGGGGGTAGCTTTGAAAAAATTTCGAATAAAAACTAGGACAATTCGTAAAAAATCGAGGACAATTTTCAATAAATTGAAGACACCAAAACACAACAGTGCCTCTCAAAATTATTTGTACACTTTTAATATACTTGCTATTTGAGATATCAATTGTTTTAAATCAGATCAACCATTTTTCAGCGCCATTTTTTCAGCGATCATTTTTTCTAACCAAATAAGTAATTTGTCATCTGTACAGTAGTGTAAAAAGCTTTCAACTCCATTGCTTATGGGAAAATAATAAAATTTGCGAGCGGAGCGAGCCACACCTTTGAAAACATACTTGTAAAACGTGATCAATTTCTTAATTTTCATAAAGAGTCTTACAGGAGTAAGACGAACTTTTTCGCACGGTGGTAGATGCGTACTTTATTAAGCTATATATTCGGCATCGAAATATTCTTTAATTTAATTTCTATTTTCTAACAAAGCGCTATAAAAATATGTCTGACGTTAAATTGAAAATTAATAGTCATTACGGTAGCATACAGGCATGGCTCCCATACAAAAATTCAATTTTTTGTGATTTTTTCAAGGAAACTCTATCAAAAATTGATTGTATCTCAAAACCAACCTCGGATTCGGTTTTCTCGTGCCAAAAAAATTCCCCCCATACATATTTTTGAGTGTTTAAGTCTACATTAAGTATGACTTTTGAACGAAAATTGGACTCTTTTTCATAGGTATCACTCCAGGCATGACATTTTTTTCCATCAACCAAAGTCGCTCAAAATCTAATGATTTTTATTCCTCGCGACCCCCAATCATCCTGTAAAGTCAGATTTCGAATTAAGTTTCTACAATGAGCGCAATCTTGCTAACAAATTTTGCGTACGACGTACAACGTCGACGTACAGATTAACAAAAACCATGTTTAAAAACGCCAAATTCGTGTTCTCTGACCCCAATAATAGGTAGAAAACATGTTTCCAAAATTTTGACCGAAAATAGTACTTTTCACCTTACACTATGTGTGCGGAAAAGTACAACCCAATTAAATGAGAATATTACTCCACAGTTTCATAATGGAGAAAGGAAAGAAAGCAAATTTGTGACCGAAGCGAGTTACATTGATTGTGACTGATTTAGAGTCCAATATCTTGAATATTTGTCCATACAAATACGATCCATTTTAAACATCTATTTATTCAGTCATGATTTCTAGCTTTTGAATGAGTAGTTTTGTGTTCATTGTGTCTTTACGATGTTTAGATAAATGGTGTCCGTTTTGTCTCAGAATCAGTCAAATTTGTAATCTTGGACATATTTTTGATGGATCCATGCTGACTTTCGTGAAAGATGTTCATCAGTTATTGGTTGAGATGGTTTGTGACGATCGAATCATGGAGTTTGGACACACTGTAGAGCAACACCACGGTAATTTTCAACATTGTTTCCCACCGGCCTGTTTTATTTAATTTAGCCCCAGTCTCCCCTACAATTTTCAATATGGCTGTTTGAGGCATCGTAGATCAGTTTCTCAATCTCAATATGAATTGGTATATACCCAGTTCGTAGCAAGTATCCAGGACTATCTTCTTTTTTCAATGGCTGCATTGATAGCGATTGCAATATCTTCGTAAACCATTCAGTTTGGATTGATTGAAATCACCGGATACTTCTAAAACATCATTTGTGCTCAACTTTCGATGCATATTGTTTTCGTAGACCTTGAGTGTTGAGTCTGGATGAGTATACATTCAACCAAATCACAGCGGACGGCAGTTCGCACTAGTGACGAAACCACATTAGTTAGTGTGTTGAAAAGTCGAACTCGCTATATATACACGTAATATACGAAATTTAGACCTAGAAGGCCATTGACCCCGGTTGATGTGTGATTGGAAAGCCCTTGGGCCATAGATCAAGAAAAAATATGAAAGTTTGAAAATCGGTCCACCTGTCTTCAAAATATGGTCCTTTCAAGAAAAGGGTCAAAGAGGTAATGTCAAATGCCTTTATAAAGTCCCTAACGCAGTTTCTTACACTCTTTTACTCACACACAAACAAAACAAAATGTCAAAAAACAGCTGTTCGACCGAACCATTCATAACCAACTTCATGCTGCTAGTTGATTCGGAATGAAAATAATGTTTGAAAAATCTACAGGGTGCGCCATAATAACTGTCCCTTTTATTTCTAGCCAAAAAACACAGAAATTTGAATCAAATCGAGATATAATTTTATTCGATATAAGAATGAGGTATAGAGATTATGATTCAGCCTTTGACTTTAATTCTTCCCCCCTTTTCTCGGATTACCAAACGCAAACGTTTCGAAAACGATTGACACGCGGCACGCACCATATCAATGGGAATTTCGTTCCAAATTTTTATTATTTTCTTTTTGAATGCATCCAAAGTGGTTCGTTTCGTAATTTTCAGATCATTGAGCTTCGACGACATGTATCCCCAAGCAAAAAAATCGAGCGGGTTCAAGTCAGGAGACGATGGCGGCCATGAGTCTCTGTCAATGAAATCAGGCAAATTCGTGCGTAGCCATTGTTGTGTCGTATTTGCACGATGTGCGGGTGCACCATCTTGTTGAAATACCCATGGTTCACCTCTGAATAGTCTTTGAGACTGTGGCAATAAGTTTTTACGCAATATTTCTCGAATATATACTCTGGCATTGATTTTTACGCCTTCTTCGACGAAAACCAGTGGAAATTTGTGGTCGGCCGACATGGCGGCCCAAACCATCAATTGTGGAACATTTTGAAATCGTTCGATGGTTTTTTTATCTTCGGGAATATCAAGGATTGATGTTGCGTACACACGATCATTTTGCGAATTGAGGCTTGGCTGTAAAAGGAACAATTTTTCATCTGAAAAAACAATGTTTGAGTTTGCGTGCCGGCGCAACAACTCTTTGCATCTTTGCTTTCTGGCTTGTTTATTTTTGATTGTGAGACCATGTCGTCGACATTTTTTGAATGGATTCATATTCAGGTCTTCTGCCAAAACTCGTCGCATTGAAGTTTCACTGATTTTGTGCTCATGAGCCAACTTTCGTCCACTTCTTCGAGGTTCTCGGCGAATTTTCTCTCTCACTCGTTTGATGAGATTTTTGGTACGAACAGATCTTTTTCGTCCAGTTTTCTTCAATATATCAACGCTGCCACGTTCTTTGTATCGTTTTATTGTGCGCTTTACAAATTTCAAGT